TCATTCACAAGTTGAAGGTACGATGGTTGAACTGAGGTTTATTGATTCATTCCGGTTTATGGCAAGCAGTTTAGGAAAGTTAGCGTCATATCTGAATGATACCGATAAATCTATCACACGCAAATATTGTGGTAATGATCAGAGGAAATTTGAATTGTTAACGAGAAAAGGAGTATTCCCTTATGAATACGTGGATTCGTGGGAAAAACTTGATGACCGAAAATTACCAGCAAGAGAACAATTTCATTCCAAACTGAATGATGAAGATATTTCTATGGAGGATTATATACACGCTCAAGAGATGTGGAATACATTCAATATCAAATCATTAGGAGAATATTCTGATTTGTATTTCACTAGCGATGTTTTAGTTCTAGCTGATATTTTTCAAATTTTTCGTCTTACCTGTTTATCTGTCTATAAACTTGATCCCTTGTATTATTATACAGCACCTGGATTGGCATTTGGTGCAATGTTGAAATGTACAAATGTAAATCTCGAACTTTTACCTGATATGGAAATGCATTTATTCATTGAGAAAGGTATCCGTGGAGGCGTTGCTCAGTGTTCTAATCGACACGCTTGTGCTAATAATAAATATATGGGTAACGATTTCAATTCGAGAGAAGAAACATCCTATCTAATGTATTTTGACGTTAATAATCTGTACGATGCCGCTATGTCAGAGTATTTACCTTATGAATCTTTCGAACGGATAGAGCCATCTACTGTTGACATTACTCATATCCCAGATGATTCGAATGAAGGATATATTCTTGAGGTTGACTTGGAGTATCCCCACCATCTCTTTGAAACACACAAAGATTTATCTGTTTGTCCAGAACATTTCATTCCTCCCAATAGAAAAATCTCCAAATTCTGTCTGCACACTACTTTCGAAAAAAAACTATGTTATACACTATAGGAATTTGAAACAATGTCTAAATTTAGGGTTGAAGTTGATCAAAATTCATCGTATATGAAAATTTCATCAAGCCCCATGGTTGAAACCGTACATCGATTTAAATACAGAATTATGAAAAAAATCGAACAATGAGTTTGAGAAGAACTTCTTCAAGTTAATGAATAATGCCGTTTTTGGGAAAACCATAGAAAATGTAAGAAAACAAAGAGATGTGAAACTAATTACAAAATGGGAAAGAAGATACGGAGCTAAAGCCCTCATCGCTAAACCGAATTTTCATAGTTGCACTATATTCTATGAAATCAATGATCTAGTAATTATTCAATCAAACCGCACCAGAATGTATTTTAACAAACCGATTTATGTTGGATTTTCTATCTTGGAGCTCTCTAAAATATTCATTTATGATTTTCATTATGAATATATGAAAAAAATATTCGGTGATAGAGCGAAATTGATGTACACTGACACCGATAGTTTGTTGTATGAGTTCAGAGTCCCGGATATGTATGAATATATCAAACGTAACATTCAGAAATTCGACACATCTGATTATCCCGAAGATGTCTACGGTATTCCACTCGTTAATAAGAAAAAGTTAGGACTCATGAAAGATGAATGCAACGGGAGAATCATCAGCGAGTTCATAGGCCTTCGAGCTAAATTGTATACTTTTAGAATTTATGGAGATGTAAGGGAGAAAAAACGTGCGAAAGGTGTCAAGAGTTCTGCTTTGACAACCATCACATTCGATGATTCTAAAGATTGTCTTAAATATTGTGAGGATTTTGTAACATCGCAGTATTGGATCAGAAGTAATAATCATGAAGTCCATACCATTCACCAATGAAAAACCGCCCTGAGTTGGCAAGATGACAAAAGAGTAATCTGTAGGAATCTAATTGATACTGTACCATATGGTTATTTCATTAAATAAACAGCAGATTTTTTGACACAACTGATATTATCATCTTTATTCCTTTGAATAGAATACTACATTTATGAGACTTTACAAATCATCCTTATCGATCCAACTGTTGTGAGAACTATCAAAACCTAACCACTTAACAAAAACTCTGTTTTCACGTCTTCGAAGTATTTTGTCTACAAGATAAACATCAGGATAAGTCACTCTCGTTAATTCCTCTTGATAGAATTCACCTTCGATAGGTTATTCTTCATAATCAAAGAGTTTGTATGTCACAGGATTGGGGTGCACAACGTGGCTGATCGTGAATATCTCCGTTGTCCAGTTGGGTGTGTAACCTTTCTCAAAAACTTCTTGTACTTGCTGATGCGCAACCTTATCTCCAACTTTGAACTTGATTTTTCGCGTTCGATAATCTTTCAGTTTCCTATAAACATGCCGTAAGAGATACTTTTCATGTGCAGCAGTGACATCTTTGGGTTTCATCTGAATCGTCCGGTGTTTGGTGTCGTTATAAGACTGAACAAGAGTCTTAACTATAGGAATCCACTTGTATTTTCCTTGTAAGCTGAATTGTTTCCACATTTTCTCTTTGAGTGTACGATTAAATCGCTCACAAATGGATGCTTTAAGGTTACTAAAGGGTGAGTACATTGTGATCCGGTAATCTTTCATGAGCTTCTTAAACTCACTGTTGTAGAACTCCTTGCCACGATCCACATGTAATTTTTGCGGTACACGACCTTGTTTCAGTATAGACTCCATAGCATCAGTCATATCTTTTTTATTTTTCCTTTTCGTTGGTACCGCCGACGCATATTTCGGGAAAATATCGATGATTGTTAGGAGGTATTTGTAACCTTTGTTTTCACGGCTGTAGGCAGTCATATCAACAAGATCTGCCTGCCAAGTTTCATCCAGTCCGCGCACATCAACATCTCTTCGTGGATAATTTCTTCTAGCTGGTCGATGAAATTCCTGAACTACTGCTGCTTTTTTGGTCATTCTCCAGTTACCAATTATTTCAGAATTACGCAATGCTAGATAGTGATGTATATCTTCTTGAATTTTTTCCAATTGTTCCGTGATCATTGATTGAAGACCAGCAAGAATTGACTGAATCTCACGTGAGATAGATTCTTTCAATGTTGTTAGTTGTAACGAGATTTTCTCGTTACGGGTTGAAATCCCCTTGAAAAGATATGTGAAAGCTTAACTTAGTGAAAAGAAACAGTTAGTGACATCTAGAGGCGGCTGAAGAAAGCCGCGACTAGATGAACTGAGCGACAAACCGATGAAAGACCTAAGGCATAGCGGTTATGGGTGAAACCGCGACCCTTGAAGGTCTGGAGGACGTTACTAGACTATCGCTATTTTGGAATTCGCCCAGCATGTGCTAGGGGAAAAGGGGCCGACGTACAGGCTGTCCAACTGGGCGATTCCATAGGCTATGTCAGAGTAGACTAGGGACCAACGGCCAGGTGAGAGGACTGATGCCCCCGGGATCCCGTCGGGTTGATTGGGGGGGATGGGGTAACGGAATGACCTATCGTCGCTGAGATATCCAGACTAGGGGGAGAAGGCCCTAGTAAGATTCTGAGTTAGTCCAACGCGGACGCTCGAGCGGGGAAGTCGAAAGGATTTCTCCGATATATACTGTGGTGTTGGCTTGAAAGATGGCCACGGGAATGGTGGGCGAATAGCTCAGCGCGGCCAGGTGCATAACTGATGGTAGCAAACGTAGGAAAAATCCAAGAAAAAAAAAAAACTATCATTATATTTTACTGAGAGAATTATTATTATTTCAAATGATTGATTTTTCAGTTTTATAACTATAATATTTTATTATTATTATTATCATTATTATTCTTATTATTACAGGTATATATATATATACTGTAATAACTGCAGGAGCATCCCCCAAAAATGGAAAAAGAGTTATTTCGGAACTCTTAGTGACGACTTTGTTGTTTGCGGCGTTATCCGGTTCGGCGAAACAAATGTCGTGTAGAGTACAAATGTCGAGTAGAGATAGTCCTCCTGTCGAGCCGACCATGTGCCGACATTCGAATACCCGGAGACGGTGACGTGCGATGACCGAAGCGGTAACTGGTGGCCGAGAGTGGGGGTGGTCGTGAAGTGGGTAACAGGGTTCCACTTTGGTCGGATCAGCCTCTCGGCGTCCCAGGCTCTGAGGAGTCCCGGCTGATTCGCATTTAATTCTGAAAANGTGGCCGAGAGTGGGGGTGGTCGTGAAGTGGGTAACAGTGTTCCACTTTGGTCAGATCATCCTCTCGGCTTCCCAGGCTCTGAGGAGTCCCGGCTGATTCGCATCTAATTCTGAAAACACTCCCGAGTCGAAATACTCGGGAGGCGAAAGCCTACTGAGAGAGTGAAAAACCCTCCAGGACGAGAGTAAATTCACTTTACATGGATGATTAGGCCGTGAGGCTTAATTTCCAGTCTGAAATAGTGGCTGGTGACGTTTGGCATAAGATACTCCTGGTGGACCTCGCCCACTCTACCGTGTCACACTGATGCTAGCTGGGCAACCCTTTGCCCGGCCAAAGAAGTCCTCTGAGTGGACGAGTTTGCCTCAGAGGCCGGTTTTCGTCGAACCTCCCGTGAAGGTTCGGCTGGCGCCCCACTATTGAGCGATAGAGACGGCATAAAAAGTAGTTTGGATTTTTCCTGGGTGAACAACCCGGGCAAATATCCTTACATAGTTCGTCGCTCAAATGGTTAATGATCTTCGAATGATCTATCAAACGTTTTTGTACTTCTTCTTCATCAATAGGTTTTTGTTTCATAGTGTTCAGAAAATTTTCCTGAAATGATTGTATCATTATCTGAATTTCATCCAGTCTAGCACCCATAGGCCCCGTGACATTATATATAAGACGAATTTCTTCTCTCATCATATTGCGCATTATTTTCAAAGAAACCGCATCATTCTCATCTACAGAATCAGCTAAATTACACAGTCTACGATGGTCCATATCATATTGTCCATCGGAAGTAACTTTGAAACCTTCTCCTGGAGAACCACGACTACCGGAAGTCCTCAGAGCACTTTTGGTATTACTCAATTGGCGTCCAAACACATCAACAATCATGTTTCAAATGATGAACTCTCATCCTAACAGTCTAATAAATAATCTCAGTCTCACGGAATTCTTCCATTATTGACATAATTTCATTAGTGTGATTCATATTTCCAGCCGATTGTGACGCCATAAGCAGTCGAAGTCTATCTACTAGCTCATTAGGTTCATGCCAGTACACATAGTCCATTTTTCTTGGTTTTACTGATGCAACCATATACCGAGGGAGAGCTGTTACAGTTTTCTCAGATTTTATAAGATTTGCGATTATGTTGCGATATTTCATGGTATTACTTGTTCGAAGAGCTGCCTTGGGTTTATAGTATATTCGATGGGCATTTGTACTCCGCAGAATATTGCCGTAGGTTTTTTTATCAGTTTCGGTTATAATGGTCATATTAGGCGACTTCTTGAAGATCAATTCAATGAGACCAGAACTTAATATATATTTCTCACCCTTGAGGGTCATCAAGTCCCTATTAAAAGTAACTAAAGAATCACCAATTTTCATTCCGCTTTGTAGGAAACGTACTCCGAATTCAGTATCCAAATCTCTCTTTTCACGCTCAGTATTGTATCGATCCAAATACGTTTGAAGGAGCTTTTGTGGGACAATAGGGGATTCCTGCTGAATTGATGGTGGACGATCAGTTCGGGTCATAGCTTTTATTGGGGATATCTTTTTCATAGGAGTACTTGTATGTGCCGTTTCTAAGTTTGATGAGAGATCTTCTAGAGATTTATATTGAGAAGTCTCGTCATCATCATCATCTATATCCTGCTGCATTCGAATGGGTGTACCAGCAATCCTTTTCTTTCCTAGTTATGAATCTGAAGATTTCTTCTTGACCGACTAATCCACCAATTTCTCGAGAGGAGTTATTACGGGTTTGAGTACTTCACTCATAGCTTTCTCCGTGATTTCTCTACCTATTTTTATCATTTTGTGCTTGCGGCGAATGGCATCACTCGCTTGAGTGATATTCCGCAAGTTGTTTGTTTCCTTCATGAAATTATTGCTCTGCATGTTGACATTTGTGCAATCACGCAACAACTATTCTCCGTTCTCTCAAATAGTGCGTATTTATCTTTTCATGGAGCAATCTAATCCTTTTCGCTATTGACCCTCATTGATTTCACCATCTTTGTCAATTACAATGAAATTATATTTACCTTCATTTCAACACTTCGCACACAAGTTCTTGAATTCTGTGAAGGACATATCAGTATTTACATGATCCTCATAAATATGCTTCAAATTCATTTCATCTTGATGAAATAGTATCAGTAGATTTGTATTGTCTCGCACAAGATGTTTTGGAATACGGGCATATGTTTGACAAAGGTAAAAACTATCAACATCTCTATGACGTCCGATGCAGAAAAATGCTCGCATATTCTCCTATTTTTCACATGCCACATCAGCGAAAATCATGATGGAATTTGGTAGAGCATACTCGGGTCTGATGACTTCATCATGCTCACTGCATGCAAAATATCCTAATCCTTTTATGCGTGAGAGTAAACGTTTGAGAACATAGATATTTTCGAATCTCAAACCATTGGGATGAACTAGGACAGCCAATAGGGCGTTCGTCTTCCCACAATTTGAGGGTCCACAAGTAATTGTTCGTACACTACTAGGTAATAGAGGCCTGTGACGCTTTTTCTCGCCTTTTTTCTTTTACGTCAGTTCATCAAAATTCATTATTGGAAGTTGTGCAGTCTGCTTTTCGAACTTCATGGTTGTGACCTTTTCCATATTTTACCTAGATTATTTCCTGAATTGAGGAGGGGTAAAATAAAGAGATAGATCAGATAAGGGGTTAAATTCAAGTAATAAGATGAAATAAGGGAAATGAGAGGTACAACTCGTACTCACGACTTCCTGTTGTGGTCTGGACGTCCAAGAATTCAGGTCCTTCAGCGACTCCTGTGACTGAGCCTTCGTTCCTCCTTTCAGACTCCAGGGGCACAGTATTTAGAGCCGGAATGAGCTCGGGCACCAAAATCCTCTTTACTCTAACACCACGGTCCAATATACCGACTTCGGGGTATGTTCACTTTCTATTCGAATGACTTGAGGCGCACGTGGCAGTGTCCAGGACAGCGGTTACACGAGTGACGAGTCTTTCCTTTTCCTCCGCGATTCGTGGGGGTTCGTCAGATGTCGAAGTCCTTCGGGTTTTAATAATAATTTAATGACCACAATCCAGGGATGTCTCGCTGGGGATCGTCGAGGGCGGTGGGTTGTCTAGGCCCATGTATGAGTGGTTTGTGGGGGGAGCAACGGCTCCTTCAGTGGATCCAGTAGGGCCAAAACTGTTGTCCAGTGGCGGGAGTAGAGGGGTGATGAGGGGAAAATCGAGGGAAGGGGTATCCAACGGTGGCGGGAGTTTATTATTGAGGGGGCAGTGTGTAGTTGGGTAAAGAAGTATGAAATAAAAACAAATAAAAATAAAAGAATCGCCTCGTCACAGCTGTCCCGGGGGTAGGGAATGCATAGGGTTTCCACAACTCTATGCTGGACAATTCAAACCTTTCTCTTCCGATCAATGGCTCCAGGAGAGGGGAGGCTGGAATAAACGCTCCAATACTAATAATAACACCATATTATTTATTTCTTTCTCTCTTGGTACGGGGTATCTCCCTACAATTCCCCCCTGTTAATATCACTGCGTCTCCACAACACTCCCATCCTTAAAATATAATAACAATAACGACAAAATGATCTATTAGGAAAAAAAAACAAAATGACTCAAAAAAGAAAAAAAAATGCTATTCACAAGCCCGCTGGGCACGAAAGAAAATAAACTACTCTAATAATTTTCGGAAGAGCGGGGGGGGGTGACTTAGGGCAAGGTATTCCAGGTGGTGAGATAATGATTTGTCGGGGAATCCGGTCTAGGGGAGATTGCGGCAGGTGGGACAGGAAAGGACGTTGACCTGCCATTTGCCGCAGAAGAAGCAGCGTCGGGTTTTAATGGGGCAATCTTTGGCTTGATGCACACCGTTGCATTTTCTGCACCCGGTGTGCAACAAGGGGGAATCGAGGGGAATTGGGCTGGTACGAGGGTAACCAGGGGATCTACGGACGTTTCTAGAGATTATGGGGACGTGGATGGACATGAGGGAAGGTGGTCGAGGGAGGCACTTGCTTCATAAGAGGGGGAGGCTTCGGATCTTTGGGTGCTTTGGGG